GTGCACATCGCCAGTTAGTCCTTGGGCCAGACGATCGCCACGGCGGGCGGGCGGCGGGCAGAAGAAGGCAGGGGAGGCCGAAAAACAACGATTCACCAAGGCGGGTGCCAGAGCGACTGCACCCCCACGCGCCGCCATTCAGCACGCCGCGCCAAGGGGCGCCGACCCCCGAGCAATGTGACAGCGCCCCCATATCAGCGCAGTGCCTACTCCCGCCGCAGCGGCGCGGGCTCGGTTTCTCGGCGGACCCCTAACTGCTTCGCAAGGCCCGCGGGAAGCCGCGGCGCTGACCGCTCAGCCGACCAAGTCGCCCCGCGGCTCGCGACGACCTCGCCCACCTGCCCCAACCGCCCGCGTGCTTATTGTTGCCCCATTCCGTCTCAGAGTCGCTCCTCCACGTCGACTGCTCAGATTCACCCTTCCATATCATCGCGCCACCGTCTGCTTCCCGAGCTCCGGCCGCCGCCACTGGCACTGCCAGCGTCATTATATCTGCTCCGCCACGCACCGCCACCGTTCAGGCGACTCTTGCTGCCATCACTGCCCCTGTGGCAGTTAGACGAGGAAATGGGCAAATCCAGTCTCGCCACGCGCCCGACGCCCCCCCCAATCAAATCGCGCCGAAAATCCAAGTCCAGTTCTGGACCACTGGGCACACCCATGCTAGACCCCAGCTGGGGAGGCGGAGGCATGGCGGACCTAGCAGCCGACGCCGGCCGCGGCGGCAGCGCGTTACGTTGCGGATTTAATCTCCAATTCTGGATAACTCCTTGTCATCCAGATCGCATGCGTGGTCAACCACGCGCCGTCCCTCTCGCTTGCCGATCCATTCTCTCTCGTGAATCCACCAGTCGATCGGGGCCATCGACGTTCCAACCTCCTCCGACAACGTCACGGCGGTCGCCCGGGGCGGGGCAGGAGAGGGCGCGAAGGGGTCGCCGGGGGCGCAAACGGCAGATCCACGCCGGAATTGGCGCCCAGATTCGGCGACCCCAGGACCGCTATGCGCGCGGAGCCCTTTCGCCTGGCCGTTGTAGTTCTTTCGTTGAACGCCTGGGCGGGGTTGAAAATCGCACTGCGGTCGGGTGCAGGCGCTATGGAGACTTGGTTTGGGGCGTTTTAGAATATGGGCGGCTGCCCCGGGAATGCGCGCGGCGCCCTCGCGATTGTTTGGGCTCGGGCCATCCGGCATGGGCAGCCCCGCTTGGAAAGTCGGGCGCCGCCCCCACGGGCGGGGCCTCGTGGATTTCGTCGGCGGGCCCCCCCCAGAATCTCGGCGGCGCGACGCCCCGATGGATTTCGCTTGCGCCGCTGGGAGCTCGGGCTCCGAGACGCCCACGCGGCCCGGGGCCCCGGCGACCCTCGCGGGCGCGGCGGGGCCCGCCCCCGCTGGCGCGGGGGCGCCACCGAGCGCCTCGCGAAGAGCGGAGCCTCCGCTCATCGTTTGGCCAAATCTGCGCATTCGCCCTCGCCTTTGTCGCCCCGGCCCCTCTCCCTCGCCCTTCCCCCCCCGCCCCCCCGCGCCGCCTCTCCTCGCCTCCCTCGGGGCGAAAAGGGGCGCGGGGGCGGGGGCGCGGCGGGGCGGGGAGCGAGGGCGGGGGGGGCAGTGGAGAGGGCCGGGGGGCTCGAACACACGCGCAGGCGGACGCAGAGGCGGAGGGCGATGGAGAAGGGGGAGAGACGGAGGCGGCGGGGCGAATGGGCGACGGGGGCAAGGAAGGAGGACGAGGAGCAGCACGGGAACGACACGAGCACTCTTCGCCATCGTCTTCGCCCCCCCGTGCCCCAGTCTGTCCGGTTCGGGCGAGGCGCTTGCAAGTGCTGTCGGGGCCCCCGCCAGTGGCGGACGTTGTCGCGGCCGCCCCCGTCGCGGCGCCTTCCCCGCCCCGGGCGCCGTCGCGGCCGTCGCCGTTCGCGGCCGAGAAGGGCCGTCGCGGGCAGGGCGACGAAGACTGCGACGGTCACCGTTCGGGGAGCCAGATTGACAAACAATCGGTCGAACGCACCCTCTCACTGTTCCTGATGCCTATCGTCGCGAAGTCAATGTTTGCGGGCGCCGATCTATCCGCGGGGAGAGATACTGATAGCGTCGCTCTCTGTTGCGCGCCTGTAAGCAGTGCCAACTGCTGGCGCCATACGTCACGCATGGCTGCTTTTGCGGAGCCCCCCTTACTACTCTGGCCTTTCTCTGTTGTTGATCTCCACGCGGGCCATCGCTTGACCGCGCCGCCGCACGGCTCGATGCCAACCGCCCGCTACACGACAAGCTGAAGCGGCAGCTACCAATCTGAACGTCGGCATTGCAAAAAGCTGCTCGCACCGTCCAAGCTCACATGCACCCGCTGAATCGCGCAACCTTGCAGCGCGCACCAGAAAATGCGCAGGTGGACACATCCGTCGCGCGCGCAAGCAACGTCGCCCGAGCCACGCAAGACCAGCATCGCACTGCCACGCACGTGCGCGAATCTACCCCACACGCACCGCCAGCGACGCGACCGTCTGATTTCTGCAGCGCACCCAAGGGGGTGGCACTGCTTATCACGTAGAGGCGCATCCCACTACGCAGCCAACATGACACCAACACCCACACAATGATGTTCAAGCCTGTTTCGCCAAAAGAAACGCCGGGCTAACGGCCGCAACGCTGCGGGCTGGCAGAAATCGTCCAGGAATCCCAACCAGCGCACGCGCGGACGAAAGCGACCCCGACGCCCCCGCAGCAAGACAAGCCACGCCCACAACGTTCAAAGCAGCAGCGGGGGAAACGATTTCCGTTGAAAACAAGTTGGGGATGTGGGTCAATTGGCTTTCAGGTAATAGCGGGCATGCTGATTTACTGGTGGCTCTTCGATGTTCCCATGGACTCTGCCGCGCTAGACGGGAGTCGAACATTCCGAGAATCGAATTCTGATGGATGAGCGCAGCGATAACCAAGAACGTTTTGGCCTGCCCCCGCATAGTCACCCTCTCCAAGGACGAAAGGGTGATCGTGTTCAGCGCCGAGAACAATTTTTCGCAATCCCCTAATCCCGCGTCATCTTACAGGATTTGCAAGTCATAACGTCGCCAGTCCCAACCTGGCGCTCCGATGGGAGATCCGCCCCGTGCGTCGCAACGCGTGGCCCTGGAATCCCCCGCTCGACTTTCGACGGCGACATCGCAACATCGACCGTCTGTCATTGGTTCGACTTCACTTCGGCCCGATGTTTCCTCGGCGCTCCGGGCAAGTCGTCAGATAGACGAAGACCGCGACATCGTATCAAGATCTCGCGACGGCTCTCGTGGATTATCTGAGACCTTGTCTGAATCATGAGTTTTCTCTCCAGGAGTAAAGATAGCGTGCCACACGCCGAAACTCGAGCTCTAAAGTAAGACCGTCGCGGGATCGGCAAAAGTCTCATATGGCATCCCGCCTCCACTGCCAGCTGTTTTGCATATCGCATTGCAGCGGCGGTGACAACCGTCATCTCGGCAAATGCAATGGACAATTCCTTGCACTCTCTCGGCTGAAAACCTGTTGTTGGTCAGGTGACCAACATAAAATGACACATATGATGTCGATTCATCCTTTTTTCCCTGGCTCAAGGGATCACTTTGCGTGGACCATTGGGGCGAAATCTTCCTTGACGTTGACGGATAATATAGCGGTTCGCGCGGGCCGTTCCCTTTTCCCAACTACGATGCGCAAGGCGCACACCGTCATTTAGTTCTTAAACCAAACGCCCGCAACGGCGGGCGGGCGACGGGCAAAAGAAGGCAGGAAGGAGCGAAAAGTAACGGCTAGGATGAAGAGCAGGAGGAGGAGCAGGAGGAGAAGCAGGAGGAGATGAGATGCTACTTTAAGAAGAACCAAGAAGAGGAGGATTGCCATACTACAACCTTGAAGAATGTCCTATACCATCCTCAGGTATGAAGCACCATTCGGAGAAGCACTGGAGACTGCGGTAGCTCATCCGCCACCGTGCAGCGAGGTGTGAGGTTGAGTGCCCAGTAGTTTTTCCAAGGGGCGGAGGAAGAGGAGGAGGAGCAGCAGCAGCAACAGCAGGACAAGCAGGAGAAGGAGGAGGAGGAGGACTGGCACGCCCGACATGTGGACGAACAACATGGGGACGATGTTCAACAGCAAATGCTGAGCAAAATCAGCAGCGGCCATTGGGCAAGTAGCGTTTGTCCGAAAACCAACAACACCCACGGCGGCACCGCACGCGAATCCTCTCTAAAATGGGCGGGAACCGCCATCAGTCATCGTCCCCAAGTGTTTCAATCACCGGCTTGGCCTGAATGACAGGAGGAGGAGGAAGGGGAACAACTAAGGAAGGAGACTGGCTCAGGGGGGGGAAATTGAATTGGAATCAACGGTACATCGCTGGCAGATTGGTGATGGCCCCACGGTAGCGAAGCCACGCGCACTTGGGCGGTCCAGGCCCCGATCGGCGACGAGTGGGCGATTGGGAGTCCGACAGTCGATGCTCCCCCCGCCCCTGTTTCAATCCCTCACTCTCGCTGCTTCGGCCCCTTTTCTCTTCGGACGGCCAAGCGCGGCTTCTCCGCCGCCGGTACTAGGCCACCTCTCCACAGGAAGAGTTTCGACACACTTCCTGGCGCGCGAAGCGAGCCAGAGGAAGGCGCCGAGGGCGCCGCCGAAGAGATGTCCTCGAAGGGCGGAACAAGCGCCCCCTTCGCCGAAAAGGAGGAAGGGCCGAGGGCCGAGGGGAAGGGCGAGAAGGACGAGAAGGACGAGGAGGTGGAGGAGGAAGTGGAGGAGGACGACGACGGCGAGGACGAGGAGAACGAGGAGGACGAGGAGGGCGAGGAGGACGAGGAGGACGAGGACGAGGACGAGAACGAGGAGGACGAGGAGCAGGAGGACGAGGAGGACGAGGAGGACAAGGAGGACAAGGAGGAAGAGGAGGGCGAGGAGGACGAGGAGGACGAGGACGAGGAGGACGAGGAGGAAGAGGCAGAGGCCGCCAGCAGAGGCGGCGGCAAGGGGAGCCGTCCTGCAGGGCCCAGCGGCGGCGCAGAGACGCCCCTGCAGCGCGCGCGACACCGAGACGCTCCTGGCGCAGCGCGCGGCACGGCGACGGCGACGACGGCGACGACGACGCTGCCAGTTTGAATCGGCGGCGAGAAGGAAAAGCCTTGTTAGTCTCCTCCGCCTCCTCTTCCTCCTTCTCCTCCTCCTCCTCCTCCTCCTCCTCCTCCTCCTCCTCCTCCTCCTCCTCCTCCTCCTCCTACGCCTCGTTAGCCTCCATTCCTTTCCCTTATAAACAATGTCTCCCTGTCGCACCCCGCGGCCAGCCTTTAGGGCGGGCCCGGCGTTTCGCCTGAGACTCCCTCACCGTGTACGACCCTGAAGCTTTAAAACTTGTAACAGATTCACAGATGGAGGGCGGGTCGCTCTTTAAATGTGGCTCTCGCCTCAGCGCCACGCACAGTCGTTTTCAAAATATGTGGCTATCGCCATAGCACCGCGCACTCTCGTTCTAAACAATCACAAGAACTGCACGGATTGAGGGCGGCTCCTTTTCAAAATGTCGCTCTCGCCTTAGCGCCGCGCACACTTTCTTTTTTTTTTTGGGAAAAATCCAATACCTTCAGGGATTGAAGGCGAATGGCTTTCAAAATGTGGTTCTCGCCTTACGCCGCGCACACGCGTCATAAACGATACCGGAGAAAAACCCAATCAGGACGATATGGGGTAGGGGGCTATAGGGCTATAGGGCTATAGAGCTATAGGGCTATAGAGTTGTAGGGCTATAGGGTTATTGGGCTATTGGGCTATAGGGCTATATGGCTATAGGGCATATGGTTATAGGGCTATAGGGTACCCCCGGGCACCCCTGGGCACCCCCAGGCACGCCCGGGCACGCCCGGGCACCTGGGCACCCAGGCACCCCCGGGCACCCCCCGGGCACCCAGGCCCTGGGCACCCCCGGGCACCCGGGCACCCGGGCGTGCGGCGAAAATCGGCGGCAAACCGAACCTAACCATATGAATCCGCTAGGACCCCCACAGGCAAGCTCTGATTGGGGAAAAATGTAAAGAGCTTCATGGATTGGGGGCGGTTCCTTTTCAAAATGTCGCTCTCACCTGGGCGCCGCGCACATTCGTTTTACATAATCGCAAGAGTTTCACGGATCGAAGGCGGTTCCATTTTCGAAAGCGCCGCGCACACTCGGTAAAAATTGCAAGCGCTTCACGGTGTCCCATGATCCGCATACCAAAAATGGTGTTGGAAGGATGCAGGATTATGAGGGTGCAACAATTACGTTGGATCGCGGAACTGCGGGGTCCCCAGCGAAATCGCGATTTTCGGCAGTCCTCAGGGCGCTCTTGGAGCCATCTTGGTGACCTTGGGGAGCTCTTGTTTTAACATAGTGGCAGCCATATTGGGATCCTGGTTGGATTATAATTTGTTCTTCTTGAACCATTTCGGTAGTGAGATCAAGGGATGTTGAGAACATACCAATGTTGTAAGGATGTGCCTAACGCAATGGCCACATGTAGAAATGACGTCGAACAGTATGCTAAATTGGTTTGCCATGCGCCTCCCCATGTTATGAGGATGTTTTGAGCGAGGGCGTCGTCTTCAACATACGAAATAGTAACCACCCCTGCCGACATTTTCCTTCGGCGAGGAAGTCTCAGGCGAAACGCTCATTTTCGAAACTATGGAAAATTCTCGATTTCCCGGATCTGGAATATGCTTTAGGCGAAACGCTTGTTTGTGCAGACGCCGATGCTGGAAAACTCAGCTTGGTGCGGATGTCCCTAGAGAAATCGTTGTGGTCGGTCGTCTTGAGGGCACTATTTAGGTAATCATTGAGCTCGCGTTGGGCTCGATGGGGCAGCCTCGATGCCCTCAACATTCAATACGATGCGATGTTGAACACATACGGTGTTTGAGCATGTCCCTAGAAAAATCGCATGTTTTAGAGGGTTGGTTTGGGCCGTCTTCACGCTTTTGCGATAGCGGTTCCAAGGCGGTGTTAGACCAGCATTGGTCAACATGTTCTCGTAGTTGTTATTTGTTTGGGGATGTCCGTAGCGAAATCGCCAGTTTCGGCAGTCGTCAGGGCGCTCTTGGAGCCATCTCGGGGTCTTTTTTTTTGTTTATGGGACTCTTGTTTCACCCTCTGGAGGCACTTCAAAAACATGATGGAGATAACATTGAAAACCTACCGTTTGTTGAAGATGTTCCCAACGACGTTGGTCGCGTTGGTCTGCGTTGGTCTGCCGTGCTGGTCGCGTTGGTCTGCCGTGCTCCTGCCCATTGCCTGAAGATGTCCCTAGCGACAGCGCCATGTTTTACATGATACGTACTAAAACACCTCTGTCGACATCTCACTGGTTCGGGGGAGTCTCGAAACGCCCACTGTTCATGCACATCGAAATCCTCGCCCTCATGCGTTGGAGGATGTCTCGAACGAAACGCTTGGTATTGGGAAAAAACGACGCTGCGAAAATCCAAACTTTGCCGACGAAAACGTCCGTCCAGCGCGCCACCCCATGTTTCGCGGCGCGCGCGGATCTTCGATAACTCCATACGGATGCAGTTTCAGCCACAGTGTACAGCTCGCTTCTGGTACCTCGAAGACGCTTCCCGTCATCCGCCATGCGATGAAAATTTTGCGACGCTCATCCAGGGGTCTCTCGCGTCTTAGCTCTTCATAGATGCCATATTCCGCCTCCTCTAACAAACCCCCATCAACATCCAGTTCCGAGAAGGCGCCCCCCACCATCCGCCAAGCCGCCAACATTCGCAACACATCATGCGCAGGAGAAGCATAGTGCCGCATAGCGGGAGCCGCCTCCACCAGCAATGCGAAGTCGACAACGCTCCAGGATATAACAGGGCAGGGCTGCGGGCCGAGCCAAATTCAAAGTCACCAGCGCAGCGGGCCAAGAAGGAAGGAGGGCGGACGAGGAGGCCCAAGCGCTAGACAGGGAACAAGAAGAAGAATGATAAATTGATGGGGAAGAAGGAAGAAAAGGGGGGAAAAAAAGAAAACAAAAAAAAAGCAGACTTTACTGAAGAAGTGAGCACTGGTGCACGCAACCTGGTGGACTCAGCCGAAGCAAGCCCAACATCCCAGTCTACGACTTCACTGCCATGATTTCACGGCGCGGCGCGAGGAGCAAGGCCGTCGTCGATCATAAGTCCCGCAAGCTCCTGTCACTTCAACGCCCCACGGGGATGCGGGATGGACACGATCGGCTCGCGGCGACGGTCAGCCGCTCCGATCCAGCAGCGCGACGCCTGGAACAAATTCCTCTGAAGGGGCCTTCTCGCTGGCAGCGGGCGCCGCCTTCGAGGCCATCAGGACCTGCCGCTGGTCGCTCTCGGTCGCGCCCTCCTCCAGGGCGGCGCCGCGCCCTCGAAGTGCCGGCAGCAGGCGGCACGGACCCGCTCGGAACAGGGCGTCGGGGCAATTGCCCTGCGGGTGCCCCGCGCACTCCTCGTCCGCCTCCGCGGCCGCCGCCGCGGCGGTCTTGCCCTCGGAGTCGCGGGGCCCCACCGCGCGGCCCATGCCCGGCTGCTGCATCTTGGCCTTGCTCTCGAGCACAGGGACCTGCAGCAAGATGCCCTCGGCCACGTTCTCCCCCACGGCGGCGCCATAGGCGCCAAGCGCCAACTGCAGGTGATCCACGGAGGCGACGACGTGGTGCACGCGGTCCTGGAAGCGCAGGGCGTCGCTGAAGGCGGTGGTCACTGGGCCGCCGCTGCCTGGGGCCTTCGCTCTGCCGTGGACCAGCGCTGCCAAGCCTGCAGGGAGCTCAACACGCGTCGTCGATGCCACGTCGGCGTCGGTGTCTCGGGGGGTCGCTCAGTGAAGCGTCGACCCACGTGCACAGAAGCCCCGACGATCATATGGTCCCGAAAGGGGTCCAGGGCCAGCGGGGTCTCACGGATGACCCTTGCGGAATCCTGGGAGCCCGTGCTGCGCGGGGTAGCGATGTGGCCGATCCTTGTCTCACCAGGGCCATCGGGGTACCTCCATGTAGCGCTGCGTCCTGCTGCTGGTCCAAAGGCGCTGGGAGCTCGCATACAACACTGGGAAAGGAGGCCATGCAGGCGCCGCCCCTTGTCGGCCCACTGTGGTCGGCACTTGCTCCGCGAGCTGGCATGTCCCATTTCACGTAGTGACGGTGCACATCGAGAGGGAATGCAACCCAGGGCTCGATTCACACTGTCGAAGAACCATCCTTGTCACGTCGGCACACTGCGTGGGCAGCCGCCGTGACAGGTCGAGCTTGGGGCTTGTCGGCGGGGGCGTACCCACAGAGGGCGTAGAAGTCGATATGTGGCTTGCGTTGCATACGTATGCCCACCAGTTGTCCCAGCTGCCACCGTTGTGTAACTGTGATACCGCCCCGCGAAGCAATCCGCGTGGACTGTAGCCGCGGGGAAGGCGTGGCGATGTAGTCGGGGCGATCCCAGACCAAAGCTTCAGGCGAGTAAGTTGCGTCGCCGTCTGAATTGAGCGTGCCGCAACGTCCTGGCCTTCATGAAGGTCGACCTCAGGCCACACCCGTCCTCTGGCGAGCATAGCACGGTGGGCGCGGTGATAGCTCCATATGCTTTGCACTGGCTCGCTCCCGTCGTAGTAGTCATCCTGCGACACGGAGCTCCACGGTGGTCGTGCCGCCACCGAACGGTCGGCCCTCCAGCGTAGTGAACTTCGGCTAGCGATGGCGCACAGCAGAGAAACGAAACATGACAAGTCCCGCCATCGACTGAGAATCATGCTGCGCGGGGGATTGCGACCCCGCTGACACGAGAAAAACGCCACAATCGCTCGAGTCAAGGCCTTCCAGAAGCGTTTCCCGTCATCCGCCACCGTGCCGCTGGGCATGGACTGGGCGTGTCTTCGCGTCCTTTGCCCAATCCTGCAAGCACCAATCCTTACTCCTAAGGAGTCGTTAAGGGGCCCGGGGCCCAAATTGCCAAATCTCATGGGGTTTGGCGCGTCTTGTCGTGGCTTCTCGCGAAAAGTGCTCGGAGCCAAGAGGGCCCCAACACGGGGCCAGAGGGCCCGAAGAGACCCCCAAAACG